AATGTAACAATTTGTGCCCTTGAGAAATGAAATATTTTATTGTAACTGCTCATTTCAAATGTGGAATTATATTCAGCATAATTCTTATTTTATAATGACTATCTGAAATGTAGGATATAAATTACAAACAAAAAGGGCTGCAAAACCATAGGAAACCACGTAATTCATCATTCCTTTGTGGAAATAACAGAATGATCTGGCTTTCCTGCCTTAGATGGAAGTTTATTGAATCAAGCACTGGCTACACTTGTCTCTAAGGTTACCAGTGCACCACTTTATTTTGGAGCTGCAGCTCAATACAGAGCAACATATTGCAATAAAATGTCTCTGTGCTTGTCTTCCCAGAACACTTCTCTTTCTGAACCCTCTCCTAATGGTGCTGAAAAGCTTCTTAGGACTGGACTCTGTGCACTCTTTCATTTATCAAATGTATGTGCCAGGAAGAGGCTGAGGGGTGGAACAAACCGGAGCACTTCTTCAGGCATGTGCTGCTCTCCATTAGGGTTTTGGAGGCATCATTTTATTCACAGAGCTCTTCTGCAGCGTTATCAGACACAAGGTATTCTGTCCACACGTTATCTGCCCTTTCCTTTTTTTCCACAGTGAAGCTGGAGCGTGCACAGAGCCTGCTGGAGCTGGAATTGCTGCCAGCTGCTCTGTCAGCTGGGTGTGTGGAGTGCGTCACCAAGTGCCGTGGCCGAGGTCCCACCCTCACCTCAGACAAACTGGAGAGCAGCAGGATGCCCATATTGCTCTCTCATTTTTTAACAATATTCTTCTTATTCCCAAGGCAACAATTTCACACCTTTTCCTATCAATTGTGCTCTCTGATGGACTGAACTCTCAGACTGTGACCCCTCTCCAAGGAGAGCTGCGAAGGTTCTGCACTGCCTGGGGGATGGGAACACCTGCCTGAACAGGTATCTGCTTCCCACATGAGCCTTGGGACATCAACACCTGAATTCCCACAGAAACACCTCTGACAGCTGCACTCAGGACACAAAATACATTACAGCAGAAAACATCAATTTCCTTAGGGAAATATTTCCTAAGTATCTCCCTACCAATTATATTCCCTCTGATGGCTTTATCAGTCAGAAACCTTTTTTTTTTTTTTTTT